ACGAAATATTCAAAAATACAGAACAACGTTGCCATGGGACGTAGAAGTCTGCCTAGTATGACTATAACCTGCGCAGACGAGGTACTTGTCCGCGGCGGACAAAAGTCCCTGAATAGTGAAGAAAAAAAAGAAAAGCGCATACCTACTATGGAAGAAAATATTCTCAAATTAAGTTGCGTTGTAATTAACATGAATTTTTCTAATAAATAGAGTAGGTGTTTTCCATGTGAAAATCGTCCATCTTTTTATTTCGGATCAAGCGCGTAACGCAGACTAGTAGTGACTTAGTGACGCGTAACGCAGACTAGGCTGTATGCGCCTTGTCACATGAGTTCTATATCTTTCGAGGACTCTCGCGTACTTTTGTCAAAAAAGTCTGTGGTCAAAAGTCCCTCGTCTGCGCACACATTCGAAGATACAATTTCGAGGGAGAAAAATAAGTCTTCTGAAGACATAATTTATCTTTTATAAAAGATAAATTTTCTACTTTTTTGAAGAAGCGAAGAAATAGATTATGGGTGTATTTCCCAAGGCTGAGGCTGAAAACAGTAATGTGGAATTACAAATACACATGTTATTATTTTTGTTTAGTAAAAGGCTTTGATATCTTAATGAGGATATTTGCGGCATAAACCACATTAACCATGAGGAAAAAAATATATTTCCTTCCATTTTTGAAGTATTGTGGAGCGTCCAGGTACCGGTTTCTTAAAAAATTGTTAGTTATGTCCAAAATTGAGCAAGATTTGCAGTTATATTTTGAAAATCATGAATAAAAATAAATAAATAATTTTGGGGGTATTTTTTAAATTCTACCCCCGAGGGGTAAAAAAGTGGAAGAAAGTTTGTATGTAAATCGTATTCCGTGGGTTAATGGACTTGAAACTTGGCATAAATACTTTTTATTTATATATATAAACTAGCGGCCCGCCCTCGCTTCGCTTCGGTGTAGAGCTGAAGTATAGACTACAGTTTTTGTTCTCAAGCTTGTATTATAATGAAATGAAATGAAATGAAAAGTCATTTATTCAGTCTAGGCTGTTACAAGTACTTGTGAAGGTCAAGAAGCTACGCCATTGGTTCGCAAAACTACGGCGGGAGACCTTGTACTGAGAAGAACCGGCAAGAAACTCAGCAAGGGCTGCTTTTTTTCTCCCTGTATTGATATGTACAGAGTCGTCAAGTTGAAAAATGACTTCAGAGATACTTCTGAAGTCACCTTCCATTACATTATTTAGGATATAGATATATAGTTATAATAAAATTTATAATTAGTATATAGGAAGCGGCATTAGATAGGTACCATATTACTGTTACAAAAACTGACTCATATCCATCAAATAACAAATTACAAGAAACACTATGTCCATGCATTACGATCATTTAGATAATCATTAACTTTATAATAGCCCTTATTCATAAGAGAATTCTTGATCTGATATTTAAAGGACAATGGCGAAATATTTGTTGAAGTAAATTTTTAGCGTCTATAGATGTCATTATCAGAAATGTTAATAAAATAATCTCAAACGATTTATTAAACAATTCAGGAGGGTTGTCTAAGTCTGGAATTAAAAACTTAAAAAAGGGAAACACAATTGACTATTTATTTTTTATTTTTATTGTGGCTTGACATCATGGCTTTTGAGCCATTTATTTTAAGTGATTTTAGTGATGAAATCAACTTTAAGTATGTTGTTCGTATGTTTTGCATCGCTTTACGCTTAAACTGTATTTAATTATCTATCAAAAATATCGAGAAACATTATTTTTCAATATTATACTGAAACCATAATAAATAATCTCCACAATACAAAAAGGGTATGGCAACAATTCTAACACAAAAAACTATAACAGTCACTGTCATGCTGTTGTTGATATTGTTATCATTATCGTTGCTTGTGCTTATTGCATGCGTATTGCAACGATTTAAACCGGCGCATTGTGTTTTTTTTGTGATTTGTGTTTTAATGTGACTTGATTTTCATAAATGTATTGCGATTATTATAATAATATGAGCTTCTCTTGCCTTTAAATTATATATGGCGCGAACAGCTCTCTTTTGCAGTACGAAAATACTTTCTATATTAGCAGCTGAGCCCCACAACAAAAGGCCATATGACATAACGCTATGAAAGTAACCAAAGTAAACCAATCTTGCCGTTTCCACATCAGTTAGGAGTCTTATTTTTTTAACAGCGAAAGCCGCAGAGCTTAGTCTACTTGATAAGGCATCAATATGAGGATCCCATTGCAGATGCGAGTCTAAAGTAATACCCAGAAATTTTATAGAATCCACTAACTCTACAGGCTGGTCATTTATTTTTAAACTAGTATTAATCTGCCTCACATTAGGTAAAGTAAACTTAACACATTTTGTTTTACTAGACTTTAGTTTTAAATAGTTACCGTAAACCAGTGAAGGACTTCAGAGAGAGCACAATTTACTTCGTCATAACAATCATTTCTTCTCCTAACTTTAAACACTAAAGAGGTGTCATCAGCAAATAGTACTGTCTCACACAAATCTCTTGTAAAGTGAGGAAGGTCATTGATATAAATAAGCAAAAGCAATGGGCCCAATATTGAACCCTGGGGCACGCCCATAGAACTGGGTGCTCCTGTAGACTCAGCTTCATTTATAACTACTTTCTGAATCCTAGCAGAAAGATAAGACTGTATCAGACTTAGTGAAATATTTGATACACCATAATGCTTCATTTTATTTAACAATGTTTCATGGCTAACACAGTCAAACGCCTTAGATAAATCGCAATAAATGCCAATAGCATCGTGCTTACTCTCCCATATATCAAAAATGTGTTTGAGAAGTGCAGTTCCAGCATCAGTAGTACTATTGCCTCTAGTGAAACCAAACTGTTTCAAATGAAGTAGCTTATTTATAGAAAAGTGTGCTAGTAATTGGTTATAAATTATTTTTTCAAATACTTTACTTAGCGCTTATACACAATGGCATTCATATATGATTCTTCTTATACCTGCATGCAAAGTCTCAGCCCGATCGGTTTAAAATTGACAAAGTTTCATACAAACTTTCATTCGCTATTTTATCCCCTTGGGGGTAGAATTGATCAAATCCTTTCGCGGATGCCTACGTCATATCATCTACCTGCATGCCAAATTTCAGCCCGATCCGTCCAGTGGATTGGGCTGTGCGTTGATAGATCACTATATATATATAGATGTATATATATGATATATATATATATATAGTCAGTCAGTCACCTTTGAGTTTTATATACTTTAGTGGTTTTTCGATGTGTTGTTCATGTAAAAATATATTGATTATGTATATTTAGAAATAAATAAATATATATATATATATATATAGATTATACGTTTATCATTCTTTATTTTTCCTAAACTACCGCCTAAAAAGGGGATTGATGGTGTCGAAGTTTTATAAGGATAAATTTTAACGCGCGGTTCGAAATAGTAGTCTAACAAAACCAAAAAGTCAGTCCTAAAGAAAAATGGATAACTGTTACAGGGGTCAAAATTGAAACAGTCCAGGAACATGAAGTTTTTGGAAAAATTGGCTTATACAAAATTACTTAAACAGTTCTCCTATAAAAGCTCATCAAATTATATGGATAATGCAATGGTCTTGCAATGAGGTTAACTGTTTATATGTGTGTAATGATTAACTGTTTTCATCTAGTTAAATACTAGATGAAGGGAATCCTCACTTGGGTTTTATGAACGAATAAATCGAAGAAATCATTACTGATATCTTCCAAGAGTGCGACATCATCATTAGTAACATAAAATATCTTAAGTCATAATGAAAACCATATCAAATGATTTAAAGCATCAGAATGATTTTTCATTAGACACAAAGATGTACCTAGATTAGTATAAGGTAATACTAATTCCACTTCCTACTTCATTCCTACTATTTTTCTTATATTAGTACTTTACTAATATTATAAATGCGGAAATTACTATGGATGTCTGTTACTCTTTCACGCTAAAACGGCTGAAGGGATTTGGATGAAATTTGGCTTTATATATAGTTCATCACAAAGATTGACGCATACGATACATATTATCCCGAAAATAATTAAAGTTCCTGCACGATTTTCTAAAAACTAACTCTAACGAGTATTGTCTAAATAATTGAGTTAGATAATGTGATTCCAAGGTAGCTCATGTTTTGAAATCATGGATGATAAACTATCAAAGTTTGTATTAACGAAGGAGTCCAGTGTCAGCAAAAAAAGATTTGAAGAAACAAAAAGCTCTTCTTTTATGATTCGGATTGTAGTGAAAAAAGTTATAAATATTTTTAGAATTTAGAATTTTATTATTATCTTAAAAACATGCAATACAAAGTACATGCTATGAAACTAATATTCTTGTCACTTAATATGTTTTTATTAAAATTTTAATTCAAGTTTGAGTTAAGAAATAAGATTTATGTAGGCAGTAAAAAGACTTCGATGGTAGAAAAAGAGAGTCTGACACTAATGACAAAAATTATAATATTTATTATTGAAATTTAATTTTAGGTTACTAGGTAGGTAAATACCAATGTCATTTTGTTTTTGGGTTCCTATATGATAAAAAGATGTTTTTAATCCATTCGAATTTTCTAAAATATCTCAGTACTCGTGTTGTATTTTAATCAAAAGGACTGATTAGTAACTAATTTAGGGTTCCATTCTTTGTGATAAAATTACTAATAAAAATATTAAGTTTCAAAGTTAGTATAATTTAAGCAAAACACTGAGTACCTAAGTTAAGGAGCAAAAAATGGAAAATGAAATATTTAAAAAGTTGATTTAATATTAATTGATTCCTATAATTTAAAATAAAGCATAAATAAAAACAGTTACAAGTTATTTTTTTTTTTACAAAATACATCGTTTTTGCATTTAGTTATATCAGTTTTTCTTAATTTTGAAAAATATAAATTTCCGCCATAATCAACAAAATTTTATAGTTGTTGAAATCCACTCATATATTTGTTAACTCACCTTTCTTCTACTTCTGGACGTAGTTGCCATTCCCTGAAAATAACAAAAACATCACTTAAAAGTAGCTTTTTTAAAAACAAGAACAACAAATAATTCCAATAAAAATAAGAAACTTGCAACCTGTTGTAATACACTGTATCAAATAAAAGAATCTTTTATATTATTATACTTTTTTGTATTAGGTGGTGAAGAAGCATTTGGGTCGCCTGCCGATAAGTACTCACTTTAACTTAAAGATCGGGGTGCTTGGAGATAAGTGGCAATCTGTCTATTCCTTTGAACTTTAACGTGAACTTTGAAGTTTAAAAATCTATGAGTACTAATATTATAGGGGAAATCTCTGGATATACTGAACCGATTTTGATTATTGTTCTTATATTTAGTTAATCGGTAATTAAAAAAAGGACAACTTTTGATTATTTTTTGTTATTTGACTTAAGAAGCTAATATTTTACATTATGTCAGAGAATAATTCTAAAATTGATCCAATTTTAAATAAAAAAAAATTGTGTGTATCAGCTCCGATGCACGACCGGAGTTTACACTCTAAAAACGATTGTCTTTGAACAGACACAAAACAAAATCAAGTCCGAAGAAGTCGGTTACAAGTAGAGATACCTCAGGAATCGTCCCATGGTTTTTACTATCATAGGTTCCATGTCACACATTTTATCATCTAACATCAGCGATATTCATCATATATTTTATTATGTATTTCTGGAAACACACTATTTCAAAAATATCACACACTAGTCATCATTTTGTAAATATGTATTATAATTCCATCTGTACTGAAAATCACTATTCCAGAGTGCTGGACACTTACCGGCATTTCTCTATATTCTGTTATTTATTTGATTTCATTAATTTTGCTCCGACTTTGTTCTATTTTTAGTTTATTTATTTTATTGACATTTGTGACCACTTAATGTTTTTTATCCGTTGACATGGCTAAAAGTGAAAGGTTTTTGTGCGCAACCTCATCTGCGCAGATGAGGTGGCGCACAAAATCGTAACGAGGTCATTAATGTCATTAATCGATAGATTTTACTCCTCACATTTTTCTCATACCAGGCCCCTTATATATGCAAATCGATTCTTAAGGAGTAAACTCCAAAAAAATGGCATTTATTATTTTTTAGCATTGTTGCTGAATTTAAGATGTTAAAATCTTGAAAAAAAATCCACAAGGACGCACCGTCCTTGTCGAGTCCAGTCTGCTGTCTGGCCGCGTGAATTCTTTTCTTGTAAAATTTACTTTAAAAAATGTTTTAATGTCATTAACGCAGTTTTTTTATTTCTCCATCTTTTCTGATCGTGTTTTTTGTTGATTTAAGTTTATAAGAAATAAACTTAAATCAACAAAAATCACGATAAAACTTCACTGTTAGCATTAGCGCCCATTATCTTATTAAATTGCCTACTACAACCACTCACATCACCAAAGTATTTTTTTTTCTTCTAAATATACTCCACTTTCAATTTTACGCATCGCAAGTCATTTTATCACGTTCGAAATCAATACCTATGTAACACTTGCGTACGCATTTACGCATGCAAAATCAGCTTTTATTTTTCACGATATTCCTTAAAGGTTAACCCTTGGTCATAATAAGACGGATGCGAGAGATATTGTTGCAAACAAAAACCCCTTATTTATCAACTACGTCCTACATATTATTTAAAAAATTATGGATTTTAAGGAATAAATAAAAACAAAAGTTGTGCTGTTGTGTTTAAAAAAATGGATCAATATGTATTTTTATTTCTTCAGCCTTTACTTATTTATACCTATACTAATATTATAAATAGGAAAGATTTGACTGTATGTTTGTACATAGAGATCGAATTTCAAAAAAATATTTTTTTCAGTTTAGTTTTTTCGAAGCCAAATTTCAAAGCTGTCAAGCTAGCCAAACTCGTTTTCCCATACAAACTTAGAACCCCTATATCACCCAATTCACGGTGGAATATTAAAAAATTCTCGATGCCTAGTCATTTTAGCAACCTATTTACTAAATATCATGTCTCAACGACCAAAAGTGTAGGCGTTTGTAGACGCATTATTTAAAACTTCAACATGATATATCTTTGTTTTATGAGGGTAGTTTTGAAAAATGAAAACACCGATATCATTTTTATTTTATACAGAGAAGGAGTGCAAAATTTTAATCAATCCTACGCACTTTTGGATGATTTCCCATAGGTACAAACTTTGACACGAATTTTTGATTTTCTTTGAGGTTGTAAAAATTTTATATAACAGGCTTAGTGTAAATCTATTAAATAATGTTTATGCTAAATTTGCAGTCAATAGGTCTAAAGGATAAGATTTTACGAACAAACGTTTTTTGCAAAGGGATTTGGGTAAAAGTGGCTTGATTTTCAAAGTCTGCGGCCACGAATGATTTTTTTTTATTGAATAGAACTAAAAATATTAAAAATAAAATATTAAGGTATATCATATATCTCCAAAATACATCGAAGCCAAGATATCATTTTTTTAAAATATAATAATCGAAACTTCATATCATTGAATCTTATGTGAAGATCATGTCAACTCTATATATAAGCCCGTGTAATTCTGTCATACATGATTTTTTTGTAACTTTAACCATTTACCCAGTGCATACTACGAAGCCCGCAAATGGACTATTTTTACCCGTTTATGCAACATTTTTCATCGATGCTCCGACCTTTCTCGATAAATGCGCTATCCAACACAAAAATAATTTAAAAAATCGGACCAGTATTTTTCTGAGATTAGCGCATTCAACCAAAAAGTGATGACTAGTCCTCCTTGTAACAAAATAATTAAATTATTTTATAAGTTATTCGTAGATTCGTAATAGAATGTGCCGGCTGCTAAAATTCGCATGCAGGTGATAAAATTGTACAATGTTGATGACAAATTGTAATTCTTAAGCTCATTGTTATAAACACTAGCTAGTGCCCACTATTTTGTTTGGGAACATTTTATTTTCCATACAAACTTTCATCCCCAAGTCACCTCCCTCAAGTTTTATTTATGTGTTTATCTCAAAATATATCATCAAATTCCGTTTAATAAGCGTAAAAAGGACAGATATAAGTTATAACTCAGAAACCTATTACGCCGACTCTGGTGTACCTCAAGGATCTCACCTGGGGCCCATACTCTTTTCCATTTTTATAAATGACATTAAATTTCATATACACAACTGTAAATTTCTTTTACTTGCTGCCGAACTGAAACTTTATAGAACTGTCAAGTCTGTGGAAGATGCAAAACTTGTACAGGATGACTTAACCCGAGTTAAAGTGTGGTGCACTGATAACTTAATGGAACTCAACACCAACAAATTCACATGAGGTATACTCGTTAAATTATTTCTTAAAATTATGAGATAGACTGTATTCATTTGGAGGAAATAGATGAAATGCGGGATCACGGTGTGTTTTTTGAACCAATGGCGCTTACGCCCTAGTATTTAACGTATGAATTGATGTTTGCTTGACAAAAAATGTATGGCGGGCAATTGATTTTCGCTTCAACGACATATAATTAGTAAAGTTAAAAAATATTATTTTAATGAATATGTTTTTTATTTTTATGGCGCTACTTCTCATTTAATATATTATTTTTAAATAATAAACTTTGCTCCTCCTATCTGTAAAGTTGCTCGGTTTCTTAAAACGTAACACTAAAAATTTCAATCTGAAAACCAAACTTGTTTTATTTAATGCTTTGATCCGAAGCTGCTTGCAGTATGGATGTTCGATTTGGAGTCAGAGTTTTCCACTCTCAGCGTGTTGAAGGTATTCAACGCCCCTTTACGAGACATATAGCCTTTCAATCGCAAGTTATTAATCATAGGTGTAGCTACAAAGAACGCCATAGTTTCTTCAAGCTTAATTCCCTTTCTGATCAAAGAAAATTGCACGATTTAATCTTTCCGTATAAATTTGTCAACAATCGCATTAACTGCAGCGAGATTGTCAACCGCGTCACGTTGTATATGCGACATGGGATACCCCGTATCAATAAATTTAAAAACACTCGTAAGAACAAATACCGGTCTCAATTCTGCCTCAGTAAGAATGTGTCTCCATTATTATATGCTCATTGCCAATGTTTAGAAAAAAGGCGCTGGAATCATTTGCATTTTCAAAATGCAATTTATAAAAACATTGTTATGATTGTGGTTTAAAATTTTTAACAACTGTAATTTTTATTTTATCTATTTTTTTTACTTGAATTACATTACAATATTTATTTAATGGGTCAGGCCGCCATTTTTTGCTGATTTTGAAAACTGTTTTCTCCGCGGTCAGTATTTTGAAAAGTATTATAGATATCGGATTTTCGATGACGGCTTTGGATTAAGCAACAAAGTGACTCAAGTGGACATTATGATTATTTCAGGTCAGATAATAAACAAAAAATATATTTCGAATGAAATCTGAAAAAAGGTAGTAAAATTACACAAAAACTTCTATCCGCCGAGGTAGAGGTGCACTTTAACTATCGTAGTAGCAAAAACTATGTCAGTTTTTGAGACATGGCTGATACTTTAAGAATACTTATATTAATAGCTATCCGTGCTTTTAATTTAGCAACGTTTATCCTAAGAATTTCCTTGAAAATGATTTCAAATAAGTTTTCGTCAAAAACTGTACTTATACGCCACTTTGTCAACGCCACCTATTCTCCATGTTCTATTAAACTTTAGGAATCGGTGAAGTTCAAATCGGGAAGTGGCAACACAGAGTTTCTGTAATCCGTGGACAGCGGCTTGACGAGCGGCTATATTTTTGACATTTGACATGTGAACGTCTGGTGTAGTTTGTGTACACAATTTTTTCAAGGTAAGATTTTTGTGCATAAAAAATTAAGTTTGATTGTTACACGAAAAACAAATAGTGCATCATGTTAGTAGAAGTGAAAGCTATGTTTGGAGCTATAATGCAACTCAAATCATACTTTATTTACAGAGATATAAGTGGTTTTCTCAACGCGACGATAGCGTAGAAGTAGAAATACGCCACCATTT